GGCTGAGGAGACGTCGATGCCCCAGATGGAGATTTGGGTGGGGTGGGAATTGAGGAGGGACTTGAGGGCTTTTAGGGAGTTTTGCTCGGAGGGCTTGAGGGAGGAGAGGTGGTAGGAGTCCTCTTTGAAGGAGGGGAAGCGGGTGACCTCCATTAGGGAGCTGAGGAGTGTTCTTTTGGTTGGGGTGGGTTTCGAGGGACTTGAGGGCTTTTAGGGAGGCGGGGGGGAGGGGGCTGGTTTAATGTGGGAGATGGCGAGGGGGTTGGAGCAATTTATGATGAGTTGGGGAGAACGGACGAGCAGAGGTTTTACGAAATGCCCGGGTTTGGGGGGATAATCAAGAGTATATGGAGGGACATTGGTTGGGGCCCGCCTAATGGCATGGGGGCCAGGACTGTTATAAGTGGGTCGGGTTGGGAGGGGTGGCGAGCGAGCCCGATAACCCGATAAGGAGGTTCGAGCGTTCAGTGACCCCCTTGAGTTGCATAGTTGCATGGATATCGTAAGGAGAACAGTTGAACCATTGCGGATACAAATAGATTTCACAAAAATGTGCACAAGGTGGGTATGGTGATAATAAGTTCGAGTGAATATTGGGGACCGACGTGCATGAGGTATTTATTTCTACTTGTTGCGACGACGCAAAGAGGGTCACTTCAACAATGTGAACTTATTAAAAATGCATATGGCGCACTTTAGGATACCTCGAGCGGGTCGGATCGCCAAGAACAGTTAGTGGGGCGAAATTGATCCTTCTAAAGGGGGTTATTGGTTGGGATATTTTGGGGGATAATGGGATAATTTAAGGGATTCTATTTCATATTGTTATTCATTGGGACAATGGAACAAGAATAATACATTTTTGTGTTATTGGTTTTTTGGAACACTAGTGAGACAATTACACCGTTTGGGATAAAATTACCTCACTCATATACAAAAATTTTGTCCCAATAGTAAAAATTTACCTCATTCTCCATATTGGAACAATGTTGTTCCACTTTGAAGGCAATTGGGATAATTTTAAAATGTTTTTGTGTTACTTAACTAATACATGCAATTATATTATAAATATATAACATAATATATAAAATATAACATTTATTAATATTTTAATAACATAATTTAATAACATATATTAATAATATTATATAATAGTAATTATAGTATAACGTATTTATTATAATATTTTATAATATTGTAATAACATATATTAATAATATTATATAATAATATATTAATATTTTAATAACATTTATTATTGTATAATTATATAATTTATTTATATAATATTATTATGTTTAATATA